GAGAGAGAGAGAGAGAGAGAGAGAGAGAGAGAGAGAGAGAGAGAGAGAGAGAGAGAGAGAGAGGGTTCGTGTTCGCCGTTGTGGCAAAAGTTGCCGAGGTGTATTAACAACTCGAGCGAACCTGTAAGTGAACTGAGCAATGACCATTTCGGTGGTACCGATGGGGCCCAGGTATGCCAATAACTTGCACAGAGTAGAACGACAAGATGGGTCCTTTCCCGGGCGCAATGCCAATTATTTTTACGTAGGGTACCACGTCAGTTTTCCTTATCGGAAGAAGTGGCGGCCTACCGCAACTTGGCCCGCAGCACAACGGAAATGTGTTGGGACACTTTCTCCCCGCAGCACAACTCTTTGGCGCTGTATTGGCGCGTGTGGTGTTATGTCCACTGTGGGTATCACGCATGTGGGCTTGGTGCTGTACCATGTGATTCACATGCGGTGCTGTGTAGATCAGGTGTGGTAGTTTTTGTGGCCAGGGCGTGTAGAACCACTAGGTACTTGAAACGCACCCACAGAGACGTGTCGAGGAAAGCAGGAGAAAAAAGACCGGTAGGTTGCGTACTATTTAGTCTAGTGTTGTGGTGGTCGGTGTGGTGTAATGTCCATTGGGTATCAAGTATATGGGCTTGGTGCGGTACCATGTGAGTCCGATGTGGTGCTGATTGTAGATCGGGTGTGGTAGTATGGGGTAGGGCCCGCACACACAGACACGTTTTCCCAGGAAGCGTGGGAAAATAGAGCACACCATGGTACCGATAGGTGGTACTATGTGGTCTAGGTGATACTATGTGGGGTGTACCATGTAGACTGGGAGGCTTGGGAGGTCTGGCAGTGGGGTACTGTGAGGGGTGGGTTGTACTACTTGGAGTGCATGTTACTATGTAGCCTGGGCGGTGTATATGTGGGACCCGATGGGTGATCCTATGTGGGCCACAGGGTGCATCGTGGGGTATGGGCGGTGTCATGTGCCCTGGGTGATAGTGTGTGCTGTGTGGTATCATGTGGAGCGGGTGAGACTATGTACTACTTGGAGTGGATGTTACTATGTAGCCTGGGCGGTGTATATGTGGGACCCGATGGGTGATGATGCTATGTGGGCCACAGGGTGCATTGTGGGGTATGGGCGGTGTTATGTGCCCTGGGTGATAGTGTGTGCTGTGTGGTATCATGTGGAGTGGGTGAGACTATGTGGACTGGGTGGCATCTTGTGGGGGTGGGTCATAGGACGACACATATGAATGGAGAAATGTGCCAAATGGCCCAAGTACTTGTTGGTGGAGGCAACTTTCAGTGGGGCCTACTGAGTGCTTCAACACCTTCCTTTTTTTCTCTTTTTCTTGTTGATGTGAGGCGACTTTCAGTGGATTCATTTGGCAACTCGAACTCGTGAACTGTTTAGAAAAACTGAGGTGTGTACTGCTCATCCGCATGGCGGGTGATTGAACACCTTTCTTCTCTTTTTTTTGGACATCTGATTCCATTGGAATTCGAACTCGTCACCAGTTTACAAACAGTTAGATTTGTACTGCTCATCCACACGGTTGGGGTGTGTACTTGAATTTCATAAAACCTGTTCCTTCTATTTGAACACTGAAACGGTCTTCACCTGTATGGTAGCAGATGCAGTACCCAGGGCTCGATCCCTAGCTTTACCCTTTACCCGTGTACAGTACCTGTTGACCCGTGTGTATTTGAACCCGCGACCTGTGTCTGAAAGCCGTATGTGTAGCTGTTCTATATGGTCTGGTCGCCGGGTCTTGAGCCGTAGGTCTACGTTTTAGGAGTCTTAGCAGTGGTCTAGGTCGTAGCTGCTATAGTCTTGAAGAGTCAAGTCTACAGCCTTCTGGAACTTCCGGAAGTGGCACTTCGTAGGTCGTAGCGAAGGGCAGTCCTAGCATAGTCAGCAAAGGGCAGTCCTAGTCCTACCTAGCCTAGTCAGCGGTACCCAGTCGCAGTCGCACTTTGTCTAGTCAGCAAGTACCATGTGGGATTGTGTGCACCGCGGGCCCAGGGTCAAGGGGCAGACCTATGACCATCCGAAGTATAAATAAAGAGGCAGCATCAAGTCATTCATTCATTCTGCCTGTGAGCCGTGCGGAAGCGCTGCCTGTGCGTCTTGTGTACAGAGGTCTGCAGGTGTCCATAGGAGAAGTGGGCTAAGAGGAGGAAGACGCAGCCATAGCTGCTTGTTAGTGGTAGAAGGTAGATGGAAGCCATAGCTGCCAGGCAGGAGGTTAGTACGTGTGTGTGTAGATTGTGAGTGTGTGTATGTGCGGGACATCCAGGGAGATCCAGGGTGTGTGTGTGAATAAGTTGCTGGTGGATACAGTTGATCAGGAGGAAGGTGCGGCCATGGCCGCTCTACCACGTGTGGGCCAACGGGAAAAGTACCTCAACTTCAGCGATTTTTCATGATCAAACGAACGTGTCAAGAAATCTGAAAATTGGAGGGTAGATTTGGTTGTAATCTTTCCTGGAAATATATATACAAGTAGCAATGAGGGACTGTCAGCTTGAACTATGCAATGCTCGAGCAGGTGAGTGGTTTAATCCTCCATCCCACATCTCTGCCTGCATTGTGCACGGCCCTGGCCATTACATGGCCATTGTACATGCATCTGACCACTGGGAGCTGTGGGACAACGGCACCATGGTCCATGCCACGATTGATGTCACTGATTTCTTACAAAATGATGTTGTTTTCTTGCCACAACAAACTGTCCGCAATCTCTTTTATGTCAAAGATCATTCCTCTGGCCCCGTGCTGCAGCAAGACAATGCATCAACACTCTGCGACCTTCTCCTTTGCACAACCACAAACACTGTTACACTCGGCTGTAGCCGCCATCGTCTCTGTCACAATCACTACAATGACATGGTTTCTGCATCCATGTGTGCAGAGGRCTGTCCCACYGTTCCTGACTGCAGGCACCCTCCGCATCCGGACACTATATGTCCATTTTGCGGCCATGGGCGCTATACTGAATGCATGCTCTTTTGTGGTGACCGTTCTTCTTTCATTTTGGCCTGCAATCGACATGCCATTTGTCGGGGGTGTATGGTGGGCATGCTCAATGCCACCCGTCGTGGCAATCGTTGCACTGAGAATGCTCAGCTAGGTCTTCCATGCGTTCATCCACGTCATCCTTACAATGTATGTCCTCTCTGTCGTCAAGGACAGACTCATTCTTGAACCTTCTCTTATCCTCTTTTGCCTTCATCTTCACTCCACACTCCATACTTTCCCTTACTTTCCCTTTATCGTTCTTTGTTTGTCTGCTCTCCATCTCTCCTCCCTGTGTTTATCCCCTCCCCCTTCACTCTGCCTCTTTCTCACAGCGTACAAGTGGGCTGTTATGGCACACGGGGATGGGGGCAGCTCGTGCTCAACTTCATCAACGCGGCGAGCTTTGTACGTGAGAGGCACGGTGAAAGGGGAGTCAAAAGAAAAATGAGTAAAATGAATGGTTTCACTGTGCCCTTCATGTTTGTCTTTTTTTTTTTTTTTTTTTTTTTTGCCGTTTGTTTCGCAAATTGCGCTCTTTTAGTTCATAGTTATGTGACAATATATATAAAAAATGAATTGATATCTTTTTTGTTTCCTTTTGTTTTTTTTCGCTTTCGCGCTCTGATAACTTTGTGACAATATATATAATTGAACGCGTTTTCCATTTTTGCCGATCCCCTGGTTCTCCCCACTGTGCTACCGGTAGCCCTCTTCAACCTGTGCTACTGGCCCCCCCGAATCTAGGATGGGGGGGTTAGTGGTGGTTTAAGTCACCACTATCTCCTGACAAATCGAGCCAACCCCTGCGGACACGGAAAGAAAACCCTGTGGTAATTAGGTCGTGAATCAAATGTATCCCCTGTAAAAGTGAAGGCCTTCTGTTGATCTGGGCAGTCGTGAAAGGCAGTGGCGGTTTCACTCTGGCGGGATAACCTGTCATGTAGTTGTGTATGTGGTAGTAATCTCAAGGCTGTTATTTTGACATTCTGGGGACAAATGTTGGGATTCTGCTGTACATGTAGAAATGGGTTTCTAATTTGGATATGGTGGCATGTGCGCTGTCCTTCGATTGTTTGCAGGCTTCATTACGAGGAGGAAGGACACTTAGCGGCTCTGGGAGGCCTCTTACTGGGCTGCTTTGTCCTGCAAGGATGTGCATGGAGTTCAAATGTTCGTTGATGCTTGGGGAGGCCTGTCTGCTTCTTGCTTGCAATGCTCTTGTTTCTTGATGGATGGATGGAGGAATGATTGAATGAGCATTGTTTATGTCCAGTCGGTTTTGGATCGATGTAACTGCCAGTGATTGATGGGCACTATCGATGGTATGTTTGGTATACGAACCGATGCAGGCAGTACTAGTCGCAATCATCCATGGTGTTGAAGGCTGTTTGTGGAAGTGTGCAGCTGTCTTCCATGGATCTGAAGCTTGAGTGATCCTGCATTGGCTGTCTGGGCGAGTTGTAAGCATAGCCATGGCACAGTCTCTTCTTGTTCCCGGGCATGTTCATCCCCCTTCTTCTTGCATGTCCTCTTTTTGTTGCAATCAGCGAAGAGAGTCGGGTGAGGGGGCGAAGGCTGTGAGGCGAAGTCAGTGGCATTGGCGGGGTTCATCGTGTGTGCTTTGTGGTTCTTTTTCAGACTCTTTCTGTAGGGGTGGAATTGGTTGCTTATCAGGATCGCTTGACCTGAAAGCACATCCGGGGTTTAGTTTGGTCTTCAGGTCTAGGATGACATCTAGCTCTCTCATCTGCTGCACCAATCAGGATAGACTTTTTGCTGTACATAGGCTGCTCGATAACCGTCGATCTGCATGCCGCTGCTGCTTGGATCGCCGTCAATCTCCTGCTGATGCATTTAACAGGGCTGTTGTACACTATATGTGCTCGAGTCCTCGTTTGCACATTCCCGCGACCTTTTCCAAAGCAATCAGTTTTAGGCTCACTTCAATTGCTCAAGTCAATCATCCAGCGTTACAAAGAACATGTGCTCCACAGAGGTCACCGAGCGCGTTTTCGTCTTTTCTGTCCAGCACGTTCCTGCCTGTTGTATCAATTGGGCCTGTACAGTGGTTAGGGCATTCCGCTACCTGCAATCGCCGGGGCCAGAGGAGTTTGGAGAACTCCTGTGTTGTCCATGTGTCGTCCGGATCTGGATCTGCGAGGAGAACGAACCGTCGCAGATGGGGAAATCCTCCTCCCACTGTGCAGAAAACTGCACCATATGGATCGCGGTCCGAGCAGCAGGTGAAGGATCTCTCTGATCGCGATCTGCAGCAGGCTGCTGACTATGTTTCTGGGTTGGACCATCCGGAGAACTCTAGATCTATGGAATTAGTGCACAACCGTGCGACCATTGCAAGCAGTGAAGAGGAGGTTACTGGCGATGATAGTGTATTGCTACCTTTGATACCTGAAGCAAACACTAGGGACAAAAATGTGTATGTTGATCATGGTTCGGGCTGGTCTGGACTGCAGGGTTCACACCCTGTAGTTACTGGTTTTCGGAGCCAGGAGGAGGGTGTGGGTGAGTTCGGTTACAAGATGGTAGAGGAAAAAGCTCCATCTAATGTGGATTACCAGATTGCCCAGCCAGAAGGCTTGGGGCAGGTTGATTCTGTCGGTTTTGCAGCAGCATCTCTGGGAGTGGATGCTGATAGAGTCAGATCGACGGTGCAGATGGATCCTGTGGATCTTGGTATTTCTGCGAGTGGTGAGGTAGAAACTTTGGGTGGAACACGGAGAGAAGATGATGATGTGTTGATGCTCTCGGAGGTACAGCAGGTGGTCAAGAGTGTTGCTGGCAGAGCAGCGGATGGGTTTGACATGGTGCATGAAGCAGAGGCTCCAGGGCTGTATGGCCAAGATGAAACTGTCTTTCCTATCCACCACAATCTTTTGCCGATTGCCGGTGATCATAAGGACTTGCCTGTTCACTCTCAGCAGAGTCCAGCTGGAGGCCCTTCGCATGAGGGAAACGCAGTAGCAGCAGAAAAAGATGGTGATGGAGCTAGTGCGCTCAGATTGGTGGCCGAGCCTGAGGCTACGAATGAACCATCGCTTCTTAGTGATCGAACTCTTGAGGACGTTTGGGGAGAAGGTTCAGGTCCCATCTTTATTGTTAAAGATGGAAAACTGAATGTTGATATTGTTGAGGTTTTGCGTCGGAGTGGCGTTGATCCAGACCACCCAGATTCCGCTTCCGCCAATGCCAAGGAGACAGCTGCGCGGAGAGTTGAGGCGGCCCTCGACTTCGCGGACGAGATCGTGGGGCGGAGGTTAAACATTCCGGAAAACAGCAAGCTGTTTCGCTGCGAGGACAAACAACTTGTGACACACGTGGACGTCAATAATGTTTTCACCTACTTCTCCTGGAATCAGTTTAAGTCTGGAATCTGGTGGTTCTTGTTGACGTACCTGCTCTTTGGGGGTTGGTATGTTTGGCGTAGCAAGATGCTCCAGAAAGAGATTGCAGAAGGGAAACTCGAAGCACCAGAAGAACGAAAGGCACGGAGGGAAAGAATGGACCGATTGCAAGAGCTGCGAGATAAGATGGAAGAAGACCAAAGTGTACATCCTCCTCCTCCTCCTTCTTCTTCCGCTTCAGATTCATTCTCCCCTTCGCCTTCCTCTTCAACTGCGGTGTCCGGAGAGCCTCTGGCTGATCTGATGGGGCATAAGAAGAGTGCTGCTGCTGGTGCCGCCGGGGATGCTCAACAGGGGCTGAAGAGGACCTTGACAGATCTGGGTGCTGTTGTTGCTTCAAGTGGCATTCTGCTGGGAGAACTTGGTGGTGCCAGCGATTCGGGCGAGGACCCAGATTTTCTAGTGAAAATAAAAGAAGTGCAGCAGGCAGCAAGGGTAGCCAAGATGAAGGACAAGCTTGAAGCCAGCGGGGGAAGGATATCTCAGGATGAGATGCTGGCCAGAAGGACAGGAAGAAGGCATCATAGTACCGAGAGCGACGGAGCAGAGGGAGGCTTGCACACAAGCGAAGATGGCAGTCATGGTTTGAGGGAGCGGATTCCTGCTACCACCATGGAGACCAATCAAGAACATCCACTATCTGGCATCCGGTTTGCTGATAACAAGCTCGATGCTGTCAATACTACGTACTCTCCAGAGGATGATGGTGTTAGTGAAAGCGAGGGTTCCCCTGCAGCACAAGATGAAGAAACTCAGTTGCTAGCATCATCAACTCCCTTGCAAACTTTGCGGGTGAATTCTGGAGGCAGCGACATAGGTGTTGGCGCTATTGGCCATGGAAACCAGATTGTGATTGGTGACGAAGACCAATCTGATGGCAATTCCCTGGGTAAAGGTTCCCCAGTAGAGGAGAGAGGTGATGCCGAGTCAGCAAGCGAGTTGGCAAGTGATGACGAGGTGGAGGCTGAGGGAAACAACGAATTTAATGGAAAGAATTTGTGTGAGGATGCCTCGCAAGAACGAGGAGTGACGACTTCTCCAGAAATTGTAGGAGTCAGATCTTCAGCCGGGCAAAGTCAGGATGGGACGTCTGAGGATTTCACCGCTGGTGATGATGGGGAAATGAAGGGGGAGGAGGGGGGAGATGATGATGTCCTTGACGAAGAGGAGATTGATGAGGAGGAGCTTGTAGCACACATAGAAGAAGTGAATGAGAAGGTGAGGAACAACTGTGAGAAGGGCATGCCGATGTTCAATGGTGTGTCAGAGGAGGACGAGGAGTTGTTTCTTAACATGTTGGAGGTGGTTTTCAAGCAGTTTGACAAGAAGCTAGGCGGTAAGTCTCAGGAAGAGATGGAAGGAGTGGGCGCAGGTAGCGCCAACAGGTATGAAGGAATAGATCCAGAAGGGGTGAAAAGACTGGTGGGCAAGCTAAAGGAAAACATTTGGAGTGGAAAGGATGTACTGCTTGGCCTAGACGAGGAAGAAAGCAAAGAGAAGGAGACGCTACGGTCCCTGAAGAAGGTGTGGGAGAAGGAACTCTTGGAGGAATCCCAGGAAGAGAAATGGAGGCGGCCATCTGTGATCAATGACATAGCTCGCAAGGTGAGGGATAATGTGGAATCTGGACGGTCACCATTCCTCGGCTTTACCTCAGACGAGGAGAAGCAGTGGCTTGAAAGCCTTGAAGAGACGTACGGCAAGGATGGAGTCGAGGAACTCCAAGCGCTGGGTAGACAGGAAACGGAGGAGGAGTCTGCATGGCAGCAAGACCCCATTCTGAAGGACATTGTAATGACGGTTAAGGACAATGAGCAGAGGGGAAGACCATCCTTAGAAGGATTGACAAAGGAAGAAAAGGAAAGGTTCTGGAAAGGGATCAGTGATAAATACAAGCGAATCTCAGAAGGAGTGGAAAATGTTGCAAAGGAGAACGTGGCGAATCTGAATATCAATACATGTGCGTCAATAGTCAATCATTGGTCTCGTTTCTCTCACCTACTCAAGGCTACCATGGCTCCTCCTTGTCTTTCTTTCTCCCCATCACTCCCCCCTTCCCTCCCCCTCCCCCGCCCCTTCCTCCCCCCTGTTTCCCCGTTCAACCGAATGGGAAGTACTTGTGACTGTGAGACGCTCTCACTCCCCTGGCTTGTTTTTGTGGCTCTTTCTCCACGGGATGGATGGCCAGGACGCCTTTGAACTGTCTCACCACACATGCATAGAAAAGTAAAGTACCTAAACACTGCAATTCTTCTGCAGAACTTTTAGTCTGCTACATGGATCATGAAGTTGGGGACCTTCGAATAACTGCATCGTGTATGGTATGCGGTAGTATTGATCTTAGAGAAATCGTGCTTGTAGTGGTAATAGCAGCAGCACGGTCGGGTTGGG